CTGGCTGATATTCATTCTCTTGTCAGGACTGTGAAATCAAGACTTTTCTTAACATATAGAACAGCAAGACCCATTTGGTATCCAAGATGAAACCCAGATGAGTGTTAAGATTGACAGTGTTTTCACCCTTGTAATTAGCGATTCACACAAATGTGGGTTTAGTTTGCACTTATGCTTGGAACATGGCACCTCTTCATACAGAGAGCATCATTCACATGTTAACATTTTCACTTTTGCTTTTTGTTGGCAAGTAAAGCAGCATACTTACTACTGAGTTCTCTTAGCTGTATATTTTGCTATATACTTTTCACTATTTATTAGTGTCCTATTCAAGAATAATTTAATGTAAGCAAAGCATGAACAAGAACTATTTGATGCTCCTCTCCTTTGCCCTGTTCTGAAGGAGGACCTTACCTGCTTCCAAGTGAATGATTTCCATGAGGACAGTGCACTGTTTTCAAATATATTTTTCTTTAAGTGTAAAGATCTCCCTCCCTCCCTCCCTTGCTGAGGGAAGGATGGGTGGCCTCAGTACAACAGAATATGTACCACGCCACTGAGTTTATTTGCAGTCTTTTTCTTGGTTGCGTACTGACTCAGTAATGTCTGGAGGAAGGGCACAGGACTAGGGAGCCTTATGGCAATACAGCAACAGTTGCCAGAAATTCATCAAGGATTTTGATGGGTTTTGAACAAATCTGTTCTTTCTAAATTGAGAATTAAAAGACTCTGTGATAGAAGAGGAGGCAAAAGGATGGCTAAAAATCCCTGTTTTGCTAAAGCTGATATGAGACTGATTTTCTCATACACACTAGGGGCTTAAACAGAAAAAAAACCCCCAAATTAAACATCCTAAATGGACTGTGCTCAATAGTCTACTTAGGCTAGACAACACACTACCACAAGAAGTGGATTTCTAAAATGTATGTTTGGAAAAAGGAATTTATATGCATATCAGAGTACCAGTATCAGTTACCATAATTAATTATAGTAATGCTTTTTGGGTCATGCTTCAGGGCTCTCAGAATTCAGCAACTGTTAGAGAACAGGTTGAGATTTAATAAGAGTAATCTCTTTTTAACCTTCATGTACAGACTTTGGGGCTCTCTCTTCATCAAAGGCTAGTACTAGAAAATACAAATGAGATCAGAATGATCATAGATCTAAACAAACACCAAAAATTGCTATGTTCTGAATTATAGACAATATGTCTATGTGGTTCTTTGTCTTATGGGAGTGAATGGCTCTTGGAAGTTCATTTAGTCTCTTTTCTAATTCCTTATAAAGCTAGAATGCAAAAGAAATGAAAAAACATTCAAGGAAAACTTGATCACTCCAGTGATCAAGCAATAGAGGTAGCATAATACACATGGTCTTTTCATCCAACAAATTAATTAATATTGTTCATCTCTTTAGAAACAATTGCATCCACAATGGACAAGAGGACAACTATCAGGCTAAATTAACATAAAGATCACATATAAAATCATTGGGGGAAAAAAAAAGAGAACAAACTAATGGTGGAGAAAAGCACAGAGAAGCCCTAAAGGCAAACAGAAATAGAATTAATAAGTATGGTAAATGCAAACCACCTAAGCAAAAAATAAAACTAATGATTGGGGAAATAACAGTAAAATAGGAAAATAATTTTTCTATACTGAAGTTCTGTGTCCTCAGCTCTTTGCCTCCAGGACTCCAAACACAAGGATGCCTTTTCACCCAAGTAGTAAGATATCCAGAGAAGCAAAATGAGAATTCTGTTCATCTCTCTTACAGGAGTAGAGTGTTGCTTTCCTCTCTGCTCCCACATTGATGCAATACCATCCCCACAGCTCAGAGAGGGCATCTGTACAAAGAACCACACTTGGGACATATTAAGATATTTAGCAATGGGTGAGCCCAGGGCTGGGACACTGGCTGCCCAAGGCAGCAACCAGAAGCATCACTAATACAAATCAAGGGTGAAGCAATTCAGTGCTTCAAAGACATGTGTGCAAGCCACTAGTGTTGGTCAGAAAACTGAAACTAAACCACTACATCCCTACTGGAGAGAAAAAGGTCTGGCTTCCTCTTTTTTATTGTATTTCAAAGTTCTTTTCTCAACACATTGGGGGATACCTCACTGTAACAAATTGAGGCAGAAACAATAAACCTGTGATGTAGCAGGTTTAAATGAAGTTGTGCCTGCAAAGTACCTTGAAATAGTTAGGGAAAATGAAATTAGAGAATTCTTCCAGTGAGCTATGACAAAAATTCCATGTTTGTTTTCAATTTCAGACATGATGAAATGTTGTAATATTTTGTTGGTATACTCCCGTACAGTATTTTCAACAGAAAAACTGCATTTAAATTTCAGAAGCTGATATTTCCTGCTTTGATATACAAAGTAGAGAGGAACAGATCATTTCCAGACACTTATAAGAGAGAAATACCTATGTAGTGAAAAGCTGAAAGAAAACACTCTCTTTAAGTTAAAGATTTTTTCATCAGGTAATTTCTTCTAAAGTATCTTAATTATTTCTCTTTTTCAGCATTTTACTTTTCCAGAATTGAATTTATCTTTGTGCAATAACACAATAGGAGCTATGAACGTTAAGTTTGTAGCTGATTCTTAAATCACTTTTCCTATATGAATCATGTAAATTCACACCTTTTCTTCTGTAAGAACAAAGAGACATTTGTTATATTTTACTCTAGCTTTACATAAACAAAGGTTAAAAAAAATGTTAGCACACAAGATTTGATCATGGTACAGGTTTTTTTGACCACACACCTACAATTTAAACATCTGACGTTAAATTGAATTATTTGGTTTCTCTGAAATAGATGAGGAAGTGCAGTTAGGACTAGATTGATTTTATCAGACTGTGAACAAGCTGTGGCATAAACTGCCTACTTGAACTACATTGGGCTGAAGAGGAACAGAAAGATGTTTATGCTGTGCTGCATTACCTCCACGTTCTCCATAGGCAGCAGTGCTACTGACCTTTTACTTTTCTGCCCTGCCCTCTGTCTATCCTCTTCTAGCTCACATCACCATTGCTCTAAATAAACAATCATCAGTACCATCACTTTTGCCTCAATCTATCACTGGTAAGATATTTGAGAAGGCAATCATCCCAGCTGGAGAAAACATAAAAGTGGGAAATATATTTGTACTTAGAAAATTGAAATATTTTGTTTATACTTCGGTCTGGGACACACCAGGCTTTCAAGTGGTTCTCTAGCTGCCTGAGCACCCTCTTTTCTCAATTACTTGTAGATATAATCATTTACAGATGTAAGTTGTATTTATTATGTGCATGTGGTAGCAGTGAGCATGGAATTCGCAGCAATATTCACAGCATTCACCTCTGGGAAGCAGTCCCTTATGGTTTCAGTCAGGAACATATGTTTTAAGTACATAGTCTGAATAGAGATTTTTTTATTTTCATTTGAGGCTGAAGAAGAAAATTGTTTCCTTCCATGATCATCTCAGAATTTAGAATTAGGTCAATGGGAAGGGAACATGCACAGAGAGTGAAAGTTGCTGAGCTCTCAGTGTATTTCTCATTGTACATCTGACTCACCGTGGGAACTTGACTGATAGCTCCTCTGTCTATGAAACACACCCTGAACAAGCATGCACTGAAGCTAAATTTCAGTTCATACAATACTCTAAATCTCCATTTGCCACGTGCTATAAGAAGCTCAAGGTAACTTTCACAATTACAGAAAGTAAAATAAAGTAGATTTCTCATGCACAACTCAAATGAAAATCCATGGTGCTTTGAGTATTTTTTCCAGCCACAGATGGAATGTAGCCATTTAAATAGTTTTTATTCCATAATGTTACTTTTGTGCATAAACAGTCATTAACTTTTCATCGGTGTCTTCATGGATTAAACAGTCCCTAAGTACATTTTGTCAGCACAGATAATTATGGACCCTTGTCATTTAAAATGGAAGAGAATGGAGGTTGTGTGTTTGTGTGTATACATCTCCTCACTCCCTCTCTTTCACAAGCTATAAGGTTTAATAGCAGTTAACACTAGACCACAGAACTTCTAAATAACAATAGCCCTGCCAATTCTGTCATTCCAATTAGTCTGACAATTCTACTAATTAAGAACATTAAACTTTTAAACAAAGGCTATCTTTTTTTGTGTTGGTTTTGGCAAAATGGAATTGAGGGTATAAGGAATCCTGAACCTCTGCTTCCAAGAATTGCTGATGATTAAAGGAAATAAAAATATCTGGGGAGCATGTAGAAACATTTAGATATAGTAGTTAAATAAGAATTTAGATATGGTAGTTAAATAAGAAGCATAGGCTATCTAATATAGCCTCTAATTCTATTGTAGAATATTATAAATGATAGAGAAATGGATTTTAAAAGTGAAAATTGCAAATCCACAATACATGGCTGAAAGAGGTTTGCTTTTTAGAAATTATTATCTAAGCCAGGTGCTACAGAGATTTTAGTACATAAGGCAAACTGAGACATTCCTTTCTTTGAACAAAGATCCCTTTTAAAAATTTTCTTTCCTTCAGATATGAAACAAAAACGAAGAAAAAAAAAGTATATTCTGCAATGAAAATTTTCCAGTGAAGATTTGTTTCAAATCAATAATTTTTTTAAAAAATTGCTCTGGTTTTGAATATATGTATTATATGCAATTTTTAAAAGAAGCATCCTTTCAAATCCCTTCTAAGTGATTTAAAGATCTTACTTTTCCTAGATACCTTATTCTCAGAATGAAATTTCATTACAGTGCACTTAAAACACAAAGTTTTTTGCCAAAAAATAAACACATTCTTCTGAAAGAATTTTTTCGCCACTTTATGTAACCAGGTCAAACTGCAACTATCTTCTTCATAATCAAGATTTATGTTTCTGTGGGAGTAAGAGCATTTTCACAGAGTCTCTGCAAAAAAAATCTTACTGTTAATTTGTGCCACAAGAAGTAAATGAATAACAGATTGAATGGAAAGCAATATTTACTCCAAACCCCACCAACCTGAGCATCATAGATTTCATTCTTCAAGCACCCAGCCTTCAAGACATAGTGCAGGAACTATGAATCTCTCAGGATTTGGCCTCATGCCATAATGCCAAGTATATTTCCTATGTTGCCTCACCAAATCATTACTGCACTGCCTGTATTCACACTGTTTAAGGATTTAGAGATACTGGGAGAGATGGCTATTCTAGTCACCATCTGCTAACATCAGCTGTCTTCAAAATTCATAGCAAAGTACCCTTTTGAGAGAAATCTTATCTATATGGCTTTACATAGCAAGATGTCTTACAGGTCCAAATGCAAAATGCAGACTCCAGTATGCTTCTCTAGGCAGAAAGTCCCCTTCAACCCACAAAAATTCAAGTCACATATAAAATTCCTGAACACAGGAATGAAAGCCTGAACAGACGCACACTCTTCAGAATGTATGCATTTGAACAATTTATTAAGCGCAAATTTTTTTCTCTCCTGGACACACTGCAGTAATAACTTGAACTGCTATACATATTTCTCAAAAAATAGCAACTGAAATAAACATGATCAGAAAGAAACCAAAATAAAGCTAGATACATCAGATATATATTGTCTAACACTGGGAACAATGCCATGAGAGGAAAAAAAGTATTTATAACTTGCAAAAATATGTGCCTCTTCAGTACTGTTTCTACTGACCACTGACTGTTTCAGCATTTTTCAAACCATGCCATGTATAAACTTTTCCCAACATTTCAAGAGCTTAAAGAGGCAGGCTCACAGTAAGGCTGCACGAGCTAGATAGAAAACTAATACAGCAACCAGCACAATAGAGGGTAAACACAAACAGAATTCAGGATCAAAAAGCCACACTTTCTTCTTAGGAAAGGGATTTTGCCAAACTTCTAGGTGCCTTCTAGGTGGCAATTTAAACTATTTGGAGATTCAAACTAGTCCTCAGCCAGCCAAAGGACTGAAATGAAAACTTCACGCTGCCGAAAGATATGCCAAAAGATATTTCCTTTGCACATGCAGTTAGGTGAGATCACTTGACAGAGTGGTTACCTTCAAAATCAGCACTGTGTACTCAAACTGTGGCATGGAGCACTGATTTCATGATGACTGGTGGACAAGGAAGTTGGCAAGCTGTAGGATTTGCACAACTCCTTCGAGATTGCTCAGACATAAGGGATGTTAATTACAGAAAGTACTGTTTACTTCATCTTGCACTTAAGTGCATGATAACCTCACTTCTATATACAGCAGATCACAGTGTCATGTTGATTTTGGAAAACTTGATTGACTGTTTAGACAATGCTATTTCTGAGAGGTCCATAAATTTTATAAAAATCTCTATGCAGCTGTAAGTAAAGTCCCCTCTTGATTCTACTTCTTTAATTGTATGCTTCTATATATGGGAATTGAATTTGTTAGGTTAAGAATCTAAGAAATTTACATCTTACAACACCATCGTGACTGCTTGATCAGCATATTTGGTGAAAAACACAATTACAATGGATTTTTATAGATAAGAAACATCAGTTACTCTAAAAGTAGATCTGCAGCTAGAAGTAATAGAATTGTTCTTCATCACTGAAAGAATTGTTCTTTAAACATCAGGTTTTCCAAAATGATATTGGGAAAATATCTGATTTCAGCACAATTTTATAGCTAAGATGAAATTAGCTGTGCCTTTCACTTTCGCAGAAGCTTGAGGGTAGAATCCAGAAAACAGTTTTATAAATTCCTATTCTATTTGCAGTGGAATTCCACCTGTGAATCTCCACGACTCTCACAGGAAAATTGATCCTGTGGGTATAAGACCTCAAATGTTCCAACTTGTCTCAAGGTAAAATGAGATGGTCAAGATCCTTCAAAATATATAGCTATCGACCTTCCACTGTTTTCAAATCAGTGAAAGATGCATATAGTTTTGTGTAACAAGAAAAAGCAGGAAGGCTAGATGATTCAGTAACTGCACACATCACCTAATCTCTCTGAAAAATAATTTCTGGCATGTGCATCAAATAGACACTGGACCCTTCATGACTCCTAACACTTGCATCGACCATTTTAAATCACTGAAAAAAGTTCAGGATCAATGCTGTAAGATCCTTATGCCTCCCTTTTCCTCCTAGAAAGTATCATTTCTCTGATTCATTCCTATAAACAATTCTGGCACTAGCTTAGGTTTGTTTATTTTGCTTTTTGTTTTTTTAATCCAAAATTATCTTTTTTTCAATAAGGAAAGAGCTCTAGTAAGGTTTTAAAGTACATGCATTATCACAGGTTGCAATGCCATTTGGCAATCATGGATGCTAGGACCAGTCAAAAGTGTAATACAGATTTGAGAAATGTAAGGGAGGCCATAGTTCATTAACAGCATGGGATGCCTGATTGGACAGCTTTTCTGCTTTTTGAATGAAAATTTGCTAATCTCAATCAGACCGGTATCTCAGGAAAAGTCCTGTCCTAAAAGAGTTATAAATTCAGATAATAAAAGGCAAACCAAAAGGAGCATATATATCCATTACAGTAAGCCTCAGTCATCCTGCTAAACACTTAAGATTATTTGCTATAAACAAGCACCACTGCTGAACTGTTATGAAAACTACCTGCATACCTATGTGTAGAGAGAATGGACTTTTCATTGGCAATTGTAGCTCTGGCATTTACTTCTGTCAGCTACTTGCCTTCTCACCTTTAATAGTGAACATGCAAAATAGGCTTAAAGTTTTTACTTTTTAAAATGTATTTTCCTAAGTTGTTCATGCCTATAAGAAGCAGGAAATGATGATTCCTACATATGAGCTTAGAGCCCACCTGGATTTAGTCAAGTTTCATGGGGCTAAAGAAGTCACTTCTCTAGTCTGAGGACTTTCTCCCTGCTGAGTTTCAAAAGTCTGCTGCAAATAATGAAAGTGATAGACTTTCTTATAAAGTTTGCAAGGAACATTGACAAAGTTTCCCTTAAAAAGCATGCTATAATTTCCTGGGAGGGAACTGTCCAACAGAAGCTAATGTTACACTTAAATTTTATTTTACACTTCTGTCAAGTCATCATTAATTCAGCTTCTTAGTTTCCTTGTATTTTAAGATCCAATCACTAGAGAGAAGCCTCTACCCAAATTAAGGTGCAAATGAGACCATATGTCAATGTCAATAGTATGGATTTTATTTAACAGTAAATGTGAGAGAGAGAGACAGAAATAGGAAAGGGGGATAGGGGTTGAAGGGAGAGAGTGAGAAACACATCACCATCTCGTGGATCCAGACCATGTCCTGTTGTCCTTCTTCTGGACTTCCTGGTGAAGGGGCTCCCACAAAAGAAAGTTCAGTGGAAAGTTCAGTGAATATGTTCAGGTACCCGTGGGAACGCCCAAGCACCTCCCCTGTGTTGAAGTGGAGAGTTTTACGCTGCCTTTCACAGCACTGGAGATTTGTTACAACACTGTGTATCATGCACAGTCCCCTGGTGGAAAGCCTCAGCAATGTGTCTGCAGGCTGTGGCTTCCCCTACAGGAGCCAGGCAGAGTTGATTTTCAGGACAGCTGCTGGGTTTGGCTCTCCTTGTGGATACTTTCTTCTCTGGAAGCCTTGCTTGCTTGCTTGCTTCTCCCTAGATCTGAGATAATTGGACAATAGTAACACCTTTAACTTACTGGCAATTCCCATCAGGTGACCTAACTCACAGTCCAAATTCCAGGAATCCAGGAGGCATATTGGGGGTAGGTGGGAAAGGTAGAGAGAACGGGTGGGGGAATGGGTTGGGAGGGCAGGTAGGGGGGTGGGCTTGGGTTTTTGCAGATGAGTAGTTGATTCTTTATATTGCTTGCTATAGTGGGCAAAGTCCTTCAGTGATCTTAACAATTTTTAAAGCAATTGTGATATTAAAGTCTCTTACATTGCATACTGCATTTAATTTATAGAATCCATATATAAATATATATACATATATATGACCTTAGGTCCTAATCGAACTACTCATCTTGTGGCATGTGCTTTCTGTAAGGTCCCTCTGCTCTTCTGCATCAGTGCTGTAGCCACGTGCTCAGAGCTCCCACTACTTCCTGGACAGGCTTTGCCCCAGTATGACCACACCATGTAAAGTGCAGCATGTCACCACTCCATGTGGGATGAACAATCCTGTCAAAGGCAGAAGACTACAGAAAAGGAGGAAAAAGGTTTGGGAACATCTACACAGGTGATCTAGGGAGACTACCTCATCAGACACCTCTTGCTGAGGGAGATTTGCAGTGGGGAGAAGAAGGCAGCAGCTTTAGGGAGATTGCAAGCAAGCCTATGGAAGAAAAAGCATACATCATAGTTCTGAGGTCTCCTTGGGGAAGGGGAAGCAGTGTAGGTTTCTTCTGGGGTCACACATATCCACATGATTGATGCCTAAAAATTTTAGCTTCTTATACATTTTCCTAATACTTGCAACTTTGCAGACTGTTAATACACAGTTAATACACAGCTCCTGGTATTTTTCATACCCTGTCTCTTAAATATTAGAATAATAGGCTAACCCTTCTAATCCATACTTCAAATTCTGTTTAGTTTCATTCTTAAGAAGAAGAAGCCTGACAACGACATTTTGTTTTCCACTGGAACTTAAAAGACATAACAAGAAATGGGGCAAAGAAGCCCCTGGAACAACTCTAATGAGGCAGAACCCAGAGGAAATTACCTAACCAACCGCTATTCTAATTGAACAATATTTTTTAAATATGCTAATTTGTTAAACTTACAAAAATTGTAGAAATCTCATGCTGGATGTGCCCAAGACAATGGGGAACTTTCAATAAAGACCTGCTTTTTAGCTCACTATTTTATCAGTGCTGCAAGTTTTGTTTTATTTGATTTTAGGCAACATTATGTCTACTAAAAGGACTAGCTGCAAGGTCCTTGAAAAAACATGCATTGATGGGAGCAGAGGGTCTCAAAATGGAAACACAGAGGAAGCACACCTGTGATTCGCTGTACACATTAGCATCACCTCAAAAGGAGGAAAGTCATCATCACTGCCTAGCTGTTAGACAGGATTGCCATTAAAGAATGAATGGTGATGAGCAGTGTCAGGGTGTCTTAGATGTACCATAGGGCTGCTTCACACCACAAAGCAATAGCAATCATCTTAACACCCCGCAGTTTTAAGAAGGACACAGCTACATGACTGGTCTGACTGGAATATTTTACCCCATACTCCTGCAAAGTACATATCACCTCTTGATCAGGTACTGAAACTTTCAGGCCATATTGTGCCTCTACTTTTCTAATTGATTTAAAAAAACAAAGGTATTTTCCATTTTAAAATTATTTGGTTCCACCATCTTTCAACTCCTTTATATTTGTGTGAACCAGGAGTAACTCAAAATTAATAACATTATCCCAAATGTATTTTGTATCTACCTGTTCTAGTCATGTGTTTCAGAAATCTTAGAGTAATTTCTGGTCACAAAGTTATTTTTGGTTAAACATAAGCAATTGCAGTTAGCAACCATTTTCAGATTCTACATTAGTGTTTTACTCAAATAATTCCCATTAAAAGAGAGTAACTAAGCCCTTTACAGCTCTTTCCTATTTGTGTCTAACAACCAATTCAAAACATGAAACTAAGGTTGTCTGATTAGAGCAAGAAATGCATCTTTATTAAAGGAGGCCTAATGCAAAACTCACTTATATTTTGCCATATTGGCAGATAGGTTAAAAATTGTATTTTCAGACTGAACCAAATCCTCTGGAGCTAATGTAGCTTATTTCTCTGAAGCCAGGGGTCCTTATTGGTGTTTTCTAATCTGTCCTGGGAGAAGGACATCTATTGTCTTAGCACTCTCAGAAGAGTGTTTAGTCAACTTGATGGGAACAGCAAGTTCCCCTCATAAAGAAGTTCAGAGTCTACAACAGCACACTGGAGACATGCAGAGGCAGAAGAGGGACAGTTCTTCACAGACAGAGAGATACATCACTTTGGTCCCATGGTGTGCTAGCTATACAACATGCATGTGGCACATTTTTCTGGTTCTTTCCCCAGCAGCTCATTTTGTAGAGACACAGTCTCTACAAAGTCTCTACAGTCTTCACGAAGAAAGCCCCAAATTTGACCAGTCTTAAACTACTGAGGCTAGCAGACCAGGGTCCCTTGCCAAGATGCTATCCTCTTTTGAATATTTTTGTAAAACCATATAATTTAAATTTAAAAATAAGTAAATAAACCACAAATCCCAAAACAAACAAGCCCCAAACCAATCAACCAACCCACCAAAACCTCAAAAGCACACACAGTGCTCCTGCTGAACAGGTGTTCCCACCTCCTCCGTAGCATTAAACCCAGCAGGAGACCAGAGCCACTGCTTTCTACACTCTTACCCATGTATTTGTCCCTTATGGTCTGACTGCAATTTAAGATGAACTAGACATACATTTTCCCCCAGTCTCACTCCTAAGGCAGCAATTGCTCTGGTGTTTGGGCTGTTCATGTGGGGGCTATGGCAGGAAGGCAAACTCATGTCAGGTGATGAGTGTGGAAGAGGGAGTTTGGCATCACATGATTGTCACTGTGTCTGTGTTGCAGTGATGTCTAGTGAGTACATTAGAAAGATGAAGAAACAAATAAAAGAAAAATACTTAGCTGTCTTCCCCTTCTGAACAGTTTCCTGCTGTCCACAAGGTCCCATTGCTCCCAGTGAATGACCAAGGCTACCACAGTTCAAAATGTTCCTGAGTTCCTTAATCTGATGTAGTTTTCTTGCTCTAGCAAAATGGGGAGGTATGGGCCAGTAAGAAGAGGGTTGGAAAAGATGATTTAAAAATTAAAAAAATAAAATAAAAATAAAATAAAATAAAATAAAGGAGAGAGAAAAAGAAAAATAGTAAGACATTCCCTAGGGCTTCAATGATAGCATATTGAACTTACTTGAAGGACTCACATTGAATGCAGTGCTGTTTGGTTCAGTCCCCCTCATGCACCATGGAGGCTCTGCAAACCTTGGAACTCAGTATTATTTTAGTAAATCTATTAATGACTCAGTATTTTTTAAATTAATCTATAAATATTTTGTTGTGTTATTATTTATACATAGTAATATTAATGTATTATTATAATATTCCATTTGAAATAATCTCACTTTTAATTCAAGACTGGACAGTCCAGGTACAGGGAAAAAAAATATGTGTTCTGCAGCATATTTGGTGCTGTGCAACCATTCTATAGAGTGCATTTAACTGTATTTTGTGTATTATTCTTAACATGCATTCACAGTAGACAGCAAAGCAGCAGTTATTGGGTATGCTGTGAATGCATATTAACAGCAGTACATATTTGCATATCATGGATCCATAATACAAAATAGGCATAGTAAAAGCCTTATGAAAAGTTATTATGCATGCACAGTAGAGGCTTTTTAAACCTTGATATCTCAGCTATTTTGTTACTCCACAATTTATTTGAAAATATTAAAAAAGGTCAAATGATGGATTAGAAATGTGTGAAACTGTAATATTACTCCTATGGAGGTAATCATTCAACACAAACTAATTCATTTTTGGTTTTATTAGCGCTATAAAAGATGTTCAAAAATGCATTTGAGTTGTTAAAAAAAAATAGCCACCTACTTCAATAATAAAAAAGGATGGAGAAATAGTTGCATGTATTTTGGGTGCCGTGTGATATAACTGAGAATTTTGTTGGTCCTTCCCTAAACATAGAACTATTACAATGTCAACCTTTCCTTCAGTATCTCATGATATTTTTAGTATGTATTGAAACAGTGTTAGTTACTCTAGGACTTTTCATTTTTAGATTATCTTGCATTTTTTAATACTTTGAAAATTCAAAATCCTTGAAAAGGGTGGCAATCCTTATAACCTTTAACAATATAAATCTTAATACATAAATTCCTATTGAGGATAATGGTATTCTACCCTCTCCTTTGTTTCAGATTGTAATATTTGTGGTAAAAATGAAGCAAATGCTATGAATAGTACAGCATTTGCTCTTTTTGAACAGTTTCTCCGTAAGTTTTAACATTTTTTTTCATTTCAGATAAATTTTCCTTAATAAACAAAATCTAAAAAAAAAGCCTGGGTTTTATAAAGCATGAGTAAAGACTGAATGTCTTAATCCTTAAAAAAACCAACCAAACAAAAAAAAAAAAAACCCTCAAGGTTTAGGATGAGGTTTTTTTTTTTTAATGAAAAGCTGTAAAATCATTGAGCACATCCATATAGATGTATAAAACATGATCTTCCCACACACATGTTGTTCTGTACTGCAGTCTTATTTTTTTGTTCTCGACCCTAATCAAAAAAATGCCCCAACATATTTAAATGAAACTTTGTGGAACAAAAATTAATTGGATGAGGGCTAGAAGGCTGAGAACATTAATGCCAAGGTTTGGACCAATGTGAATTGAAGCAAATGAATTATAAACCCTTCAAAACCAGGATTTATAATGGAAATGCTGACACGGACCCGTAACAATAGCAGCTCTGCCAGGGATTATTTTAATACTAAAAGCATACTCAGTCACTCATTATTTTTTTAAAGAGATTATTTAGTTACAAAAAAAAAAAAAAAATGGTGATATACAATAATAACAAAACCAAAATTTTAAAAATAATATTTCTAAGGTGACTCCTGTCACTTCATATCACTTATATGTGACATGCCACTCCTTAAATTAAAAAAAAAACAAGACACAAACCCCTAACACATGAAGGTGGAGTTTGTCATAAGCTCCATGGTAAGGCTGAGCTAAGAGTCTTTGTCAGCTTCCTTTAACAGTGTTTTGCCAGCAGAAAGAGACAAAAGGGTTAAAAAGGAAGAGCAGGGAGCACAGGAGAGGCAGCTGACAGGAGAAACAAGGGCATGAAGAAAGGAGAAGCTAGGTATCAAAACAGAAGAGCAGGGGGAGATTTTAGGAGGTTTTCAAAGGGAATAACTCAGTTTTTAAAGAGATATTGGGGAAACATTCACAAAAAGACTAGGCAGACAGAAAATATGGCAGAGGCCAAACCCTTTGAGAATCCTAAGCTACACTTTTGAGCAGGTGCACCCCAGTCACATTGCAACATGCCAGAGCAGGTCAGCGAGCCTTGCCACATACTTCAGAAAAAAAGGCATGATTTGTTAAACTTTCATGCTGTATGTCCAGTTTCCTATAAATGCCTCTTTTATTTTGCAATGTCAAAATCCACCAAGGGATGCGAAGGATGGATTTCTTACAGATGGCATGAGGCTTGCTCCTATTATCCTGTGCTCTGGGGCAACAAGCTGTACTCAAAAAAAACCCTACACCCCAAAAAATCTCACCCAGCAGCATTACACAAAAACTACTTTTTGTGACTGTGCTATGCGTTATAGCACCAGCATTACTTCCCCCTTACCGCCTTTCTTTCCTTGCCTTTTCTTTTTTGTCCCTGGGTACCAGGTGCACTGGAGGGACTCAGATCAATACAAGACAGCATTTCTCATATAAACAATGCCATATTAACAACCAGAGGGCAGCTGTACCTGTAGGCAGGGATAGCACCAAATGCTGGCATGTCTATCCATGCAGCTAGACTGCTAAAAAGAAGCAACCACAGTGGAAATGCACCTACTGTATGTGAAATGCTGGTGCAGAATTTTTTTCTTTTCTTTTTTTTTTTTCTATCAGTCTAACCTTCTGTGTTGATACTTGAATGCTGGTACCCACTTAGAGGGATGCCAGATGATCAGTGCAGAATGAAGGTCCCAGGAGAAAGACTCACGTGGTTTTCTCTGCCCAGTGACGTCACTAGCAGATGGCATGGGTACCAGCTCTGGCAGTTGGCATCAATGTCACTTTTTAGAGATCAATGAGATAGTGCAGATATACACCGATCTAGACTCCAGCAGACGATGCGACATTCAGACTGAAAAGATTTGGAAGGCAAAAAATGAAAACTGATTGTTGAATGAAATAAAAAGCTAAGGTAATACAAATAAAGATATATTTCAATTGGTGTTGGGTGTGCATGCAAGTGTTTAAAGATACAGTATCATTGTCTTGTATTTTGTGTATGCTATTTGCTGTCTAATAACTTCTACCATTTTATTATTCTGATGCAATTACAAACTTTCATTGCTTTTATGTAATATTGCAAATGTGTAGACAATACTGATAGAGTTAGTCTTTGACTGGGGTTTTTGTTTAATTTTGTTCTGTTAAAAGTCCCTGCATTTACTTTGCTTCTCTCTTTGAAGTCCATGGGATACAAGCTTTTTGCTGTTCCCAAGCTGCAAACAAAAGCAAAGTAATTGGGAAAAGGAAATTATTTTTCCTTTCTAGGCTGGATTCTGAGCACACGTGCAGGATTACAGTCAGAATCTACAGACCGCTCCTGTCAGCTAAGAGCTGGAGGAAGACATCTGAACCTCGCAGAACATAAACACTGCTATAGCGTGCAGGGAATTTTTCACCTCCCCCCCCTCCCCTAATTGATGGGAAAGAAAAGAAAAAGGAGAAAAGAACAAGAAAAAAAGCAAATAAGTTGATTCTAACTTAACAGATAATATCAAATAGAATTTTTGCTTGAAAAGGGGGGGAAAAAAAGGTAGGGGGATTTTATTTCCTAACTCTAATCTGAATACGTTTAGGGTTAAATAATTCTGATTTTTGTCTTAATGTGAAATAAGTATTGTGTGATTTTTGATACAAATAACTAGGAAAAGTGCTTTGTTTTGAGTTATATTACTAGCTAAGTGATTTGGGGGGTATATTCAATTTTTTTTTCCTTCTCATCTACTGTAACTTACTAAAGTTTAGTATCTTGATACATAAAGGAAGAAATGTGGAGAGCAAAAATCCAGAATTTTGAAGTATAAGTCAAAAGGTGATTTTAAAATATTTACCACCTGGTAATAGAGATATGGCACTTTCTCAATTTTAAAACTACACTCCCTCTCCTCATTTTTCCACCCAGGGGAATTTGGATTAATGAAATTTCTGTAGTGCTTTGTCACATTTTGTATTTCTTTGGATTCCATGATGGTGAGAGTTTGAAGGATTTATTTAAAAATAAAATAAATGAGCAGGAAGCTAACTGTACATTTAAAGTATGGATTTATTCCATATTTATCTGTGAGAAATGTGGTTTTTTAGTTGCAGGATCAAATGTTTCAAGTGATTTTAGAATTCTCTACAGCTATGTTTTTTTTAAATGTGGGCATTTGCAACTGCCATTTTATTCAAAAAATATAGATTGAGCATTTATATACACACACACACGCACACATACACACACTCTCTCTTATAAGGAGAGCTTACACACAGACACAAATAAGGTGCATGAGGCTGTCTGTGTGAGTCGAAAAACTTTAAAAATGGAAATATTTAAACATTGTGCTGGCATTCTTTCAGGTAACTTAAGATTGTAGAACCATGTTAACACTACCATTTGATGAGTCTGTTGTAATGCCAGAATCCCAGATGTGTAGAAAGTTTCCCAGAGAAAGTGATGACCAAAAGCAAATGAAGAACACAGAAAGCTTTTCAAAGCAGATCATCCTCCGAGGAAAGAATATTAAAAGATCTCCTGGAGAAGACACAGAAAAAGAAGAGGAGGAGGAAGAGAGAGAAGAGGAGGATGAGAATGGTTTGCCACGGAGAAGGGGCCTTAGGAAAAAAAAGACGAGCAAGATAAGGATGGAAAGAATTAAATTCAGGCGTCAAGAAGCCAATGCTAGAGAGAGGAACCGTATGCACGGCCTTAATGATGCTCTGGACAATTTAAGGAAAGTTGTCCCTTGTTATTCTAAAACACAAAAACTGTCGAAAATAGAAACTTTAAGACTAGCCAAGAACTATATTTGGGCTCTTTCTGAAATACTGCGAATTGGGAAGAGACCTGACCTGCTCACCTTTGTCCAAAACTTGTGCAAGGGTCTGTCCCAGCCAACTACAAATTTGGTGGCAGGATGCCTGCAACTGAATGCCAGAAGTTTCCTCATGGGCCAGGCAGGCGATGGTGCCCATCATACCCGCACACCCTACTCCACCTTTTATCCTCCCTACCACAGCCCGGAGCTTGGCACCCCCCCAGGGCATGGGACTCTTGACAACTCTAAGTCCATGAAACCATACAATTACTGCAGTGCTTACGAGTCCTTCTATGAAAGCACTTCCCCTGAGTGCGCCAGCCCACAGTTTGAAGGTCCCTTAAGTCCTCCCCCAATTAACTATAATGGGATATTTTCCCTGAAGCAAGAGGAAAGCTTGGACTATGGCAAAAATTACAATTATGGTATGCATTACTGTGCAGTGCCACCCAGGGGTCCCCTTGGGCAGAGCTCGATGTTCAGGTTGCCTACAGAGAGCCACTTCCCTTATGACTTACATCTGCGCAGCCAGTCTCTCACCATGCAAGATGAATTGAATGCAGTTTTTCATAATTAATGAGGAAAATGAAAATAAACAGTGGTCATTCACCTCCCCATCTAATTAAGAGCAAGCAGATGCTTGGGCACTGCATAATTGGCACAATTCTATTTAAAATGTTTACTGGTTCCTAAAGTGTGTTTCAACTATTGTGAGGATTTTCTATGTATTAATAAACCCTTTTTATTGTAAGTTTTTTTTTTCTGTAATCACTGTGAGAATATGTTTCCTCCCAGAGGTTTTCTCCCTCCTTTTTAACTTTTTGTTTCCTTATTTGATTTGTTGAGCAGTGTGTCTGAACAATATTACTGAAATAAAAGCGTACACACTGTGTGAAGTCAATGTCTATTTTGATTGTATAGTAATTATACAAATGCATGTTATTGAAATCAGATTAATAAAAATTATGTATTTATAATTGGTAGAAAATATATATTATGTATTCAAGGAGAGCTGGATTAAAAATATTAAGAACTTTAAAGTAATTATCCAGAGCTGAGATGGGCTTGCAATATGCAGAGAGGTGAGAGGATAGCAATATTGAAAGCTATGCAAAAAAAAAAAAAAAAAAAAAAAAAAAAAAAAAAAAAAAAAAAAAAAAAGGCAAACAAAGAAACAAAATAGTTTTTGAGTTGTTGGTTTTTGGTAAACTAAGGAAAAAATTATTGTCATTGATAGTATTCAGCCTGACTTTAGAGTGTTCCTGACAGAGGCTACATGATGATATTTAGAAGATACTGTCAAAAAATTTGCCTCAGTTATTTTGACCATATATAATCAGCACTTTTTATTTGTGTTATTATGACTTCAGATGTAAAGGTTTGTTATAAAAATGTATAACTGTGGTTTCTCAGTACATACTTAACATGCAATTAAAGATAGATGTTTCAACTTTTAAAATACATCTATTAGTTGTGATACTATAGCTGCGTGTATTTTGTCTGATACTTATAATTTCACAGTATACAGTTGCCTATGATCTTGCCTACACACCTTTCTTCCCAGGACACTCATAATGGTTAAGTCTGGGGAAGGAAGTCAAGAATTATCAGGGTGAACCTTATGTTGTTTCAAAAGGATGTATTAATGATGCAGTAGATTCAAAATACCACAAAAACAGCTGTGTGCTAAATGAAATACAGGTTATGGGAATAAAGTAACTTTATTTCTCAATGAAATGCCAAATTTCATTTGGGAAAGAGCCCTGAGCTAACACAGAGGACACTAGCTGCTCCTCCAGCTCTGGCTCATTGCGGGAATGGCAGGAGCATGAGAATTATAAGAACTTCAAAGAAAAATAATTCCTGGACATTGCTAAACTTAGTGTTGACTAAAAAACAGCACCAGTAAACTACAGAGGTGTATGCAGCCCACACTAGTTCAGCAGCTACAGAGGTCTGCACAGTCCCACACACCTTAAAGGAGTTTAGCTTAGCTGAGCCTCAGTTGTTTTCTAACCAGCTAGAGTTATTTATCTATAAGCTCACGAGTGATAAAATGAATGAACCGTTGATCTAAAAGCTAACAGTCTTTAAACCTCTGAATGAGCAAGACCTCTTTATTATGATGGATATACAGCAGCTGTCTGACAAGCAGAAGTACTCTGCTCTAAATGAGGAGGGAATACTTTTTTAAACCTTTATAAAAAGTGCAGATTTCACATTCAAGTTGGAAGCTCCTGGCTGAATCACAGTCTGGGTCACAGTTTGCTAATGACACATCAATCTCAGAGCCTCACTCGAGTACACAGCTGGACAAAGAGGGGATGGGCCAATTTCTCCTGATAATTTGCCTAATGTCACAAGCAATACTTGGAGTAAACAGTCTGCCCTGCCAAGCATTGCAGCTCCCTCAGGACAAATACAACCTGATGTTCATCTCTTCTAAGACCAGGCTGTCCTCAAAAGAAAGTGATAACTTGTCCCAAAGTTTGTATCAAGGTCTAAATGCTTCCAGGTTTGCAGAGGTAGAGGGACAAGCATGGGATTTTGTTCAACCAATATCCTCTCTAGGCACAAATATGACACCAAAATGGAGTCTTTTGGAGCAGTCTTGGGCCAGATTTCAGGGGTTTGGCCCAGGATCATTCCCGGTTTCCTCAGGGTCAGGCATAGAGGGTACAGGCAGCCATTTTCCACCTTGGATGAAAGATGATGACTGTGAACTCAAAAGCATCCCCAGGTGTTCTGCACTGGATATAGGAGAGATTTGGGAGAAAAGAAGACTCTAAAATTGATTGCATTTGCTCCATTCGATGAGGCGAAAGCACACAAGCTTGGGCACAGATTCATGCACACTGAGAAATAACAATATATAACAAGGTACTGTAGGCAAGAGGGCCCAGAAACAGGGGATCATTTGCTGGGTGGCAAATACCCCCCACTGAGCATTGGCAGATAACTTACCTAACCAATTTTACTAAAAGAAGCCTCTTCTAGGAGCTTGAAAGTTCACCAAGTACTTCAAAGCTGTCTTGTTGCACAAGGGGAGGGTCTTTGCATAAGTTGAGACTGGTGTGAGGAGGCAACTGTAAAGACCTGAACCAAGGGAAAGAAATGCCTACCACAACACATCCAGCAGGAACCCAAGGAGTGTTCAGTCTTCAGGCTGTGCAATCTCGGGGTGTCCAACTCTATATTAAGTATATTAACTCAATGGCCTTATATTAACTCAATAACTCATGGGCCAGTTCCTTGTTCCCCTTCTGGCAGCAGAGACAAAGAGAAAGGGGAAAATATTCCCTGCCAGTTCGGATCTTTCTCTCTCACTCCATGACAGATGGGGAGGCAGTTTGCAGCCAGATTCCCCCTCTGGTAGCTCAAGGCAAGAACCACGCTTGCTCAGGGCATTGCAAGTTGGAAAGTCACTCCACGATAAATAATGGAACAAGTAATAGGAAAATATTGAGATGGCATAAAAAACCTCCAACATTCTCTTTCTAGGAGGGTATGGATTATTTAGAGATACGGAGATAGGAAACTCCCTTGACAGAAGGCTCTCTTGCATGCTTTCTTCCATGCACACAACAAACATTTCTGTGATCCTTCACTGGCTAGTCACAGAATAAAAAGGTGCTCCAACCTCTGACATGATTTTTAAAAGCCTTTTAAGATGCCCTATTTTAGGGAAAAAATCTGAGTACTAATAAAGAGCTGGTTCTTTAAAATCACAGGAATAAAAGCCAATGGGTTTCTTACTCATTATCTCCATTTTCTGACGTTTGTCTCCTTTCAATCCCTTTCATACATCAAAACAAACTGGTCAGTTCTGTGTGTCTTGTTGTCCTCTTCACTGCCTTCAAGTTTTTGAGGATAGAATATGTAAAACAAAAACTGCTTCAGAAAAATTAGGTGAGAAATTTCTATTGTTCCGTGTCCTTTAGCACAAAAATATTGAAACCTTCTGTCAGTTTTAGAGATGGGAACCCCAAAGCTGTCAGAAGATGAGCTATTTCACATGTGGCTTTTTTACACAGTGGAACTCTTTGCCATTTATTATTTCCCAGAGTAAAATTTTAGTGTGATTTTTAAAAAAGCAATGTGTTTTTTATGGTATTGGAAACACACCAATTATTTAGGAATGGCTGTACTGGTTCAGATTAATCACCCATCTGACCTAATATCTATTTTTAATATGAGAACATTAAAAGGTTGTCCAAATGTGTCAGAAGAGGGCAAGGATTTTTTTTTTTTTTTTTAACTAATAAAAGTACTGGAAAATAAACTAAACATAATGTTCCAGTCTCATTGAAGACAGAGATGTGCCTGAATTTCAAAAAGGGCCAGGAGGCATAACAGTGTACTGTAATTTTAGCACTCTGTAACACTGGACTTATCAGTAATTACTGAGTAGGTTACACTGATAGCGCTAGGTGGTATCTCTGAACCCCACGCCAAGAAAAACCTCATCCAGACTACAATTTAAAACCAGTGGCCCAAGCCCCAGTCCTACAAAGCCCTGTAAGACCACAAAGAAAGAGGGAGGGGCAGCCACTGCTTTGTCAGACCTTAGTGGAGATCTCAAACCTTTTCTGAATTACAGTAGGGATACCCTTGTTTTAGGACACATCCTGACTATGGTCCCTTTGGGACTGTCTTCATTTTTTTCATTTTATGGTTATTTCTATGAAGATTTTTAAAATTTATGGAGATTGCACAGGCACAAACATGATGGGAATTTTTTTTCTATATTAGCAATTCCCTCTCCCATTTTTATCCCTACTTTATTCTTCTTTCTCTGCCTTGCCTATAGGGCTCTCAAATGGCAGCAATTAAGTGAAATGCCATCAACAAAGATGAATGAAATCCCAGTGCAATACATGGCAGAATCTTTCCTTGCAAAAAAAAATGTCTTTGCATGGTTTTGCTTAGCAGATTGGGAATCTAGCTTAACCGTGGTTATATTTTATGGTCATAAGGTCAAAGAAGGTTTAATACCAAAATCCTTCAGCCTTTGATGTATAAGTAGCAGATACAGTGCTGCTTTAGTCTGAATTATCAGGAAAGAAGCTTCCCTTACAAAATTTCTACAGTTTTCGAATTAAGAAGAAACAAACAAACAAAAAAAAAAAAACAACCCTCAGTAATCTGGCTGTGGGTCTGACCCAGAGCTGAACCATGGCAGCAGATTTTGATTTTGCTCTGGAGAGACACAGATCAGCATGGTGAACAGCTGGCACTGTGCCACTGCAGAATCTCAAGGGCAGACCTGTCGTATCTCACTGATACAAATCTAACTACAGTACACAGGGCTGCCATGCAGAATCACACTCCCAAGCCTTCTCCACCACACAATTATACCAGAGCAAATCATCTCACAAAAAATTATGCTATGCCAAAAGGATGGCATGTTTTCCTGTAGAGGTTTTTCCCTCATCTCAGAGGATGTGCAAGAATGAGCTAGGAAAAGGGAAAGGCAAATGTGCAAGCAAAA